TTTCGGAGCCCCACACCGCCCTCTTCTCCATTCCCACCCCCACCCCCGATCTCTCCCGCTCACAGGGACACCCTGGTGATTGCCATGGGCAATGGTGTCACCAGCTTCTTTGCCGGCTTTGCCATTTTCTCCGTCCTGGGCCACATGGCTTGGCAGAAGAAGGTGCCGGTGGGGAAAGTGGCTGATTCAGGTAAGGCGAGTGGGTCAAGCATCTGGGGCTCGCCAAGGCCAGCGTGGTCAAGATGGGCTGGCAGCAACTGGGGGCCCTTCAGGCGGGACTCTTTCCCGGCTGCCCCCAGAGGTGGACCTGCCACCGACCGCGTGCCGAGCAGGGGCCGCGCCCTGGACCTCTGGCTCAGCAGGAGGCGCTTCCCCCCTCGGAGGGAGGCCAAGCATCGTCCTGTGGGTGGGCCGTCCGGAGCCTTGTGCCAACCCGCCAGCTGCTAGTCTTCCTGATTCACCCGCGCGGATCAAAGGGGAGGGTCCGCCTGCCACCCCTCCCTGTGGGATGCGCCCCTCGGTCCTCCACGGGGAGGGTCCACAGGGGTCCCTGGGCAGTGTGACTTGGGGCTTGGACCCCGGTGGCCTCGACGTCCTCCGCGGAGAGCCTTTCCCGGAGGCCCCTCCGGCTTGCTTTTGGGCTGGACGTGGCGGCCCTGCCGGAGCCTCTCCTTCCTTTCCCAGGGCCCGGCTTGGCGTTTGTGGCCTACCCGGAGGCGCTGGCTTTGCTGCCCGCATCCGCCTTCTGGTCCGTCCTCTTCTTCCTGATGCTCTTCACCCTGGGAGTGGACACGCTGGTAAGTGGCTGGCGCTGCGGGCGGCTCCAAGGGCAGAGGCTCGCCAGCATGTCGTCGTGCGCCAGGGGTGCGTGTGCACGTGTGGGCATGTGTACAAAAAGCAGACCATGCTGCGCAGCTGATGAGCGAGGTGGCCTTGCTCCGAGGCCTCCCTGGAGTGGACGCCTTCCCAACCTTTCCCCTGAGATGCCTCCAGGCGTTGCCAGCCTGGTTGCTTGGCCAGGAGAGCCCCCCCCAGCCCTTCAGGAGGGGGTTGACCAGGATGTTTTGTTTTCCCCCCCTTTCCTCCCCTCCTCCTTCCCGCCTTCCCCAAACCACTTGTGGGTCCCTGCTGTCCAGTTTGGGAACATGGAAGGCATCGTGACCGCCGTGACTGATGAGTTCCCCTCGCTGCGAGACGGGTGGCGGAAGGCGGCCTTCCTGGGGGTGCTGTGCTTTGCCTTCTTCCTGCTGGGCCTCCTCTTCATCACGGAGGTAAGCCAGCCTCTGGAGTGGAAGGAGGCAGGCAATCCCTTCCACGCCTCCGCTGTCAACCTCCCTAACCCACTCCATGCGAGGGCCGGGAGCCTCGCTCGAGAAGGGAGCTGGGCTCCAAAGAGATGGCCTTTCGCCCAGACCTCCGGCTTCGGCCTCCCTCTGGGCAGGAGGTGCTCTGGGGGGGGGTGCCCTCCCTGGGGAGGACGGGGCTTGGAGGATCCTCCTGAACAGGAAGAGGAGGAGAAGCAAATGCCCCCGGATGGAGTCCAAGCTCAGGTGTGGGATTTGAGTGGGGTGGGGGGTGGGTCCCTTGCCTGCCCATCACTTCCCCAGGGGGGTGTCCGGGGGGGCTCAGCAGTGTTGCCCCCCTGGGGGCTCCCCCTCCCCATACCTCCACGTGCTTCTCCCCCAGGGGGGCATTTACTGGTTCACCCTCGTCGACACCTACAGTACCAGTTTTGGCCTCATCATCCTGGCCCTCTTCATGTGCCTCGGAGTGGCCGTCTTCTACGGTGAGTAAGTAGCGGCCACCTTCTTCTTAATAAAAGCGAGTCTCTGGCACACACCCCTCTCTCTGGCTTGGAGAGCCCCTCCACCGGACCCCCCCAACCTGTGAGGAGGTCCAGCAGGTGCTCCTGCCCCCCCACCTTGGCTCTTCCTCTCCCACCCCACCCGGACCCCCATTAGCGGCAGGGCTGGACCCCTGAGGTGCGTCCCACGCCTCGCACCGCCCAAAGGGTCCAGCTCTGCCCCAGGCCTCCCACCTGCACCGAGGGGTGGGGTCTTCGCCCTCCATGGGTCCTGTTGTGTGAACCGGAGGGGCCCCTGGCGGCGATGGGCCATGTCTGGCCCCAGAAAGAGGGGCAGCCAAGAGGGTCTGCCCAGCAAGGGGTCCTCTGGCAGCCACCACCGAAGCCTGGGATGCTGGCTGGGCAGGACTGCTGGGGTCGGGGGGGGGGCTTCCCTCTGAGGACCACCAGGGCCCACCTCTCATGGCCGGCCCCCACGAGAAGAGCCTACTTGAGCGGAGGGCAAAGGGGAAGCTCAACAGGGAGGGAGGTAGGTTTTTTTGAGACAACCTTTCTGGGTGGGGTGGATGGGGGGGGGAACAGTTCTGTGGCTGCCTTTGGGTGGGACAAAACCTTGCGCTTGAAGGAGAAGGCAGGTA